AAGAACCAACTTTTGGTTTGATTGATTTTTGGACTGTTTTCCTAACTTCCATTTCATTTATTTCTGATTTGACTTTTATTATTTCCTGTCTTCTGCTGGCTTTTGGGTTATTTTGTTGTTCTTTTTGCAGCTCTTTGAAGTGGAAGACTAGGTGTTTCTTTGAGTTATTTCTTGTTTCTTTATGTGAGCCTGTATTGTTATATATATTCCTGTTACAACTGCATTTAATGTGTCCCATAAGTTTTGGAGACTTATGTTGTCATTTTCATTCTTCTTCAGGTATTTAATATCTTCTTTGATCTCTTCATTGATCCAATGGTCCTCCAGTAGTGTAGGTTTCAGTCTCCAGGTGGTAGGTGGGTTTCTTGTTTTGCTCATGTAGTTTATTTCCAGTTTGATTCCTTCATGGTCAGAAAAATAGTTGGTATGATTTTGATCTTAGTGTATCTATTGGTATTTATCTTGTGACCCACTATGTTTCAATCCTAGAGAATGATCCATGTGGATTTGAGAAAAATGTGTACTCTGATTTTTTGGGGTGCGTATTCTATAGATGTCTGTTAGACCATATTGTCCAGGTCTTTGTTCAGAGCTTTAGTGTCTTTGCTTAGTTTTTGTCTTGTTCATCTGTCCATTGTTGAGAGTGGCATGTTGAAGTATCCTACTTTGTATGTATTTTCTCTGATGTACGTTTTCATGGATGACAGTAGTTTCCTGATATATTTTGTTGCTCCTTCATTTGGTGCATATATGTTGATGATTGTTATGTCTTCTTGTTGTGTTGTCCCCTTAATCATAATGTAGTGGTTTTCTGTATCTCTTTTAGCCTTTTTAGTTTGAAGTCTATTTTTGTCTGTATAAATATAGCTGTTCCTGCCTTCTTTTTTGTTCCCTTTGTTTTCCATCCCTTTATTTTCAATCTGTTTTTATCTTTTGTAGTTTAATGTGCTTCCTGTAGACAACAGAACATTGAGTGCTGTTTTATTATTATTTTTTAAAGATTTATTTATTTATTCATACAGAACTGGGGTACAGGCCAGAGATGCAGAGGGTGA